TCCTTCCTTCCTTGCCTTCCTTGCCTTCCTGCCTTCCTGCCTTCCTGCCTTCCTGCCTTCCTGCTTTCCTGCCTTCCTTCCTGCCTTCCTCCTTCCTTCCTTCCTTCCTTCCTTCCTTCCTTTCCTCCTGCCTTCCTGCCTTCCTTCCTTCCTTCCTTCCTGCCTTCCTCCTTCCTGCCGTTCCTTCCTTCCTCGCCTCCTGCTTTCCTGCCTTCCTCTGCCTTCCTGCCTTCCTGCCTTCCTTCCCTTCTTTCCTTCTGCCTGCCTGCGCTGCCTGCCTTCCTCCCTCCCCTCCCTCCTCTCACCTCCTCTCTCTCTCTCATCTCTCTCTCTCATCTCCTCTCTTTCTTTCTTTCTTTCTTTCTTTCTTTCTTTTTTCTTGAGACAGAGTCTTGCTTTGTCGCCCAGGCTGGAGTGCAGTGTCATGATCTTGGCTCGCTACAGCCTCCGCCTACCAGGTTCAAGCAATTCTCCTGTCCCAGTCTCCCAAGTAGTTGGGACTACAGGCGCCTGCCACCTTGGCTGGCTAATTTTTGCATTTTTAGTAGAGATGGAGTTTCACCTTGTTGGTCAGGCTGGTCTCAAATTCCTGACCACAGGTGATCCTCTCGCCTCAGCCTCCCAAAGTGCTGGGATTACAGGTGTGAGCCACCACGCCCAGCCTAGAACCATGGTTTTTTAAATGTCGTCTGCAGAACCACAGGGGTTCCGGACACTCTTTCAGAGACACTATGAAATCAAATCCATCATTATAAGAGTACTAAGATGTTGCTGTTTTCATCGTGCTCAATTTGCACTGATGGTGCAAAAGCCATGACGTGTAAAATGTTCCAGTGTCTTAGCACAAATCAAGGCAGTGCACTCAACTGTTCATTGCATTTTATACCTTGCTGACATAGAGTCTTAAACAAGAAAAGAAAAATTGGCTTTACCAATTGCTTAATAAAGCAATACTAATTGTTTTTCTTAAATCTCAACCATAAAAATAGGTCTTTTTAAGATTTTGTGTGCCAAAATGTTAATTATGTATAAAGTACATTTGCTACTTATGATGATTGTCTAGAGGAATGAACACTTGTATAATTGAGTTATAAGCTGAATGAGATGCATTTTTCATGGAATACCATTTTTACTTGATAGAATGACAAACTACAATAATTCGACTTGGGTGTTTGGCAAACGTTTTCTCAAAACTGAATGAACTGAGAGACAGTTTTTGACAATGATAAAATTCAAGCTTTCAAACTGAAAGCACAATTTTGGAAAGCTTCTGTTTGCTGTTGTGAGTTTCGTAGCTTTCCGGTATTGACACTGAGAGGAGGGGCAATATTATTTAGTATGATTTTTGATACTGTAGAATGAAAAGTGTTTTTATTTACAAATTTCTGCATGAATGTGTTTTCTCTACATGACCAGTGTATGTTATAAAATTGAGCATAAGTAAAACATCCACTTAAAGGTCAAGAACAAAAGATTTCAGTGTTATGAAGTATAAAGTATTCATTGATATGGTTTTAGATCTAATATTGCAATCATGCTTTAAAAAACCACCTGTTGAGTTTTGTGCTGTAACAGAAGAAAATCCAGAAGGCCATTATTTATCTGAGATTGGATTTTCTTCAACATACTTTTAACCTAAACATTTTGCAAGAGGTTGGACATGGAAGTGGATATGAGAATCCAACTGTCTTCTCTAGGCCAGATGTTAAAGAGATTTGCAAAAATGTAGAATAATGCCACTTCTTGACACAAATTTTTTTGAAAATATTTTTTATAAAAATGTTACTTATGTTAACATGCTATTTAAAAGTTTTATAACTCACAATTTTAACTTCTAATATAATAAATATGGATAGGTATACACAAAAGCTCTTTGAGGTCCTCAGTAATTTTTTAAGAGTAAAAGGGATCCTGAGATCAAAAATTTGAGAATTCTTGGCTAAAATATATTTACCTGTATTTTCTAATAAGAGATTTTGTTACTGTTGTTAGTTTGCTTGCTTTAGCACTTCAGCTCTTAAGCTATTAAATATATGTATTATACTGGACTGTCTATAAATATCAAAAAAGAACACCACATTTTATGAAGAGTAATTAAATTTAAAAATATATGAAACTTCCCAAGTTCATTTTTGTAACTTGTACAGAACACATATCTTTCACTTTGTTTTCTTGAGCATTTTTAAGGTTGTTTATCCACCCACCACATGTGTGAATCAAACAGGTAGTATTCCTCATGTCTTTCTCCCACCTTTTTTTTTTGTGTGTATGGCCACCACCTTTGGGTTCTCACAGCCCCTGACCCGGAACTCCAGGCTCCATAATTGTCAGGCCCATTGTTCTGGCCAGGAAGGAGTGGCCCCATTTTTTAGAGTGTAGATTCCTTAAGGTGGTAGGTAGTCAATGGGCGTGTGTGGATAGATGTTCACTACCTGTGTACTGATACGACACCCAGTTTTTTGTGGGAGAGGTAAATTGGGAGAGGTACTCCTTACCCTTTATTTCTGTGATTTCTTTTTTGGCCCTCTGACTCTCAGATTACAGCTCAAGCAGTTTCCAATGGGATTTTACACTTTTATCCTAATAAGTTATTAGCAGGGATGGGAAGGGAACTCCATTTTAATTGAATAGCTGCTGCGTGCCAGGTACTAGCACGTCTTGTTTAGTTTCTCAGCAGCTGTTTGGTTTTATCTGTTTTTAAATTTATTTGATAGGAAGTGGGACAGAAGAGGGTCACAGAGGTGAAAGAGCTAAAAAACAAAACAAAAAGTGTAGCTCAAGATCATGGCAGATTCAAATCTAGTTGTTTATCTGTAAGCATCTTCTCTATCCACCGTGCAAGATTGCTTCTGTGAAAATCTGAGTCCCAATAATATTGACTATTTTATACAGTGTGATTATTGCTGTTGTGTAAATATCCAGTCAAGGGACTGACCAGTTTTGTGCACTCTTGCATCTAACTTGTATTTATATATTAATCATGGTTTTTATTGGACCTGGTCATTTCCTTAGGTCAGAGACAAGGAGTGATACGTGAAAGGGCAGTGGATTTGAAGCCAGCTGACTTTATTCTTCAAGTACCATGCTTGGTCTTGATTAGCTGTGTCATCTTGCCTGAGTCACTGAACCTCTCTAGAACCCCATTTGCTAATTGGTGAAACAGGGGCAAGAATAGAAGGCCTTTTCCAGTGTCTCCTGGTTGCTGAAAACATCTAGTGAGATGGCAGTATCTGTGTAAAGGTTTTAAAAACGGGGGACTGTACTCATGGGAATTTAGTACTTGTACTTGGAAGTGTTAGTTAGAACTCTTAGATCTCGCTATCACATAAAAATTATGTAAAATATCATTAGTGGTTTTCTCCTTGCCCCTTGGCATCTGGGATTGTCTTTTAAGACTATATCTCTTTAGTATGTTGAGTCATCAAATTGCTGATATTTTACTATTTTTTACCTCCAAAAATGGCAATACCAAAAGTTACTAGTAAAATTTCAAATGTTAAAATATATGTATATTTGTATCAGTATCAAAGAGAGTATGGCAAAAGGCAAGTAAGCCTAGATTTTATTGTAGTTTTCAAAACAAACTTTTACTCTGGATTTTTTCCCCCCTCAGGCTATCTTGAATTCCATGTGTTGATCCCTAGCAACCTGTTAAATGTTTTGTGTTGAAGAAACACTGAAGGCAATAAAGCATCTTCCCCTATAATGGATGGGACTGATGGACTGATGTGGAGAGTTGCAAATGCTAGTCTAGTCATTTTAATTATGTTAATTGGGATACATGCACAAACACACACTTTCACAGTGGGTTATATATGTGTGTGTGTATATACACACACAGTGGGATATTTTATATATATACACAACACATATATATACATATACACACATACACAGATTCTTTTCATTTTCTCTTGTGAATGCTTTTTTTGTGGAATACTGGCAAGAAAGTTAGGAGGTACAAAAATGAATTAGGACTTAAGAAGTTGCATTTTCTCCATTTAGAGTCATTTGTTGACAAGAGTCACAGCAGTGTTCTTATAATGTCTTCAGAAGACAGGGCTCTTTTTAAAAAGATTTTCTTTTGTTTGCTTTTTTCTTTTTTTGCCTGGGAAATAATCTGGAGTAGATTCTAAGCATGTATTAAGTTTTTAAATTACCTGTTAGTCTAGCTTTTTGGAAATTACTACATAATTTATAGAAAAACACCACAATAAATTTAATATTCCTTGTCCTTGCCCTCTGCAAATTAAAACAAAAAATGCTATGAATGTTTGTTATTTAAATGTTTAATGCTCAGAGGAAGGAATGAGAAGAATCAAGGAAAGGAAAATTAAAACCTAAGACACTAATAAAAAATAAAACAGCAACTATGAGACCTATTTATTTCCTATTTCTTTCCTTTGAAAATAAATTGTGACTCACCATTAAATCCATGCCAGTGACCCATGCATTTAATATTTTAGAGAAGATGTCACAGCTGCCTTGCATGAAGTATTTCACCTTTGGTTTCCGTTTTTGTCGAGTTTTAGCGTTTTGTGCTTTTAAACCAAACCGTCTGGTTTATGTTTTCTTTCTTCAGTATCTTCCTTCTTTATTGGACTGTCTTTGCCCTGAGATTACATACATCCTAACCCAGCTGTACTGGTACACTTTATCATACCAAATACTAATTTTTCTTGCTACCCACATACCCGTCCGACTGTCTGGGTAGTAAGTTTACAAATTTTTTAAAATAGGAATTTCCTAATGCCTAATGTACAAGCCCCATGAAAGGAAATCATGCCTTATCAAATTAAAAAAGGATATTTACAAGGAAAAGTTAACTAGACTTGGTTTATTATTTGAATTTGGAAAAGTCTTGCATAGCCTATAATTCTGTGACTCCATCCATTAAAAAAAAAGAATTTAGGATGTCAACACCACACAAAGCCATTTTACATTGGAATCGCAAATATTATTTAACTGTACTCTGCATTAGATGGAATTTTCTTACTTACCAATTTTTCCAGTCTCTTAGGTTCTCTGTAGGCAAGATAGGATCAGCAACTGAGTGTAGCATTTGATGATGAGGGAAATAGATTTTGCTTTCTGCTGGACTGCTCGTGTTGACCAGTGGAAAACACTGCATTAGCTTTCAAATCAAAACATATAAAGTGCTCTCTGAAATATTGATATCTCGCCAAATGCTTGAATGTTAGGTACTGCAGATGTCCAGTACTCTTTGGAGCCCAGCTCTAATATGTGCTTGTATAAGTTGGATCTGATTTGGATTTGCTTAGGGTTATAGATTAGCAAGGCTTGACCAAATAGTAAATAGTATGAAACCAGCTGTGAAAAGGGAGACCGAGCAAGTGAGAGCTCCAGCCAGCAGGAAGATAGATCTTTCCCATGCTTGTTTATGACCTTTTTCTGTGAAGCTGTTGTAATAATAGCTTCTTTATTTATTGGGAAGTATTTTTAAGTTGTAATTCACATGGCTTCAAACTAATTTCTTGAAATTAGTTGGAAAACCAAAAAATATTTGAAAGCAAAACATCTGCATGTTTCCTTCTTTCAGTACCAGGGGAGGAGGCAGGAAAGCTGTTTAAGTAGGTGGTAACTTGAGGGTCTTGATTGGTGCAGGGCAAGATAACTGTCAAATGAGAAGAGATATTGAAAGGACCGTAAGGCCATACTATCTTCTCTGGGACTTGGGGGATTTGCTCCTCTAGACTTATCCTGTTCTAGGGATGGACTTGATGCATGCCAGTGCCTCTTCTACTCCATCTGTTATCCTGACACATTTCCAGCCTTGAATGGGGGCTTTTGGGTCTCCAGTCGTTCTTCATATCACTCCTTGACTTAAATCTGGTTTCACAACATTCTGTTTCTGCCCTGGGTTGTTACTTGACCCCAATGTCTGGATATTTTCTTCTTTAACAAATTGTTCCTGGGGCTCTCTGAAATTATGCTCTGGATTAATGCAGTAATAATACATCTTTCAGCAGGAAAGACCTGAGTCTCCTATACTCCATCTACTTGAATTCATCCAGTTTAGGGCCTGTAGCATCAGCTTTACCTATTTTACCAGTTTCTTTCCCTCTGTCCTAGAGAGACATACTCACGATCAATCATGCCTATTATCATTATCAAATAAAATAAAGCGAAAATCCTCAAAGCTCTCCCTTAAATGCGAATCCTCTTTATTAGCAATCATCCAAACGGTACTTTTATCTCCTTATCCAAACTTGTTGGAAATGGTCTGCGTTTGCTGTCTCCACTTTCCCATTCACTCTGTAATCTAGTCCACTCTGCCCTCTGTCCTCAGCACTTCTCTAGAACTGCCAGAGACCTCCTCATGGCACATTCCTCAATCCAATTGACATTTTGAAAGATTTTGTTTTTTTGTCCTTGAGGTAACTTTTTTGGGATTGTGGTAAAATACACGTAACATTTGCTACCTTAGCTATTTTTAAGTGTTTAGTGACATTAATTACATTCACATTGTTGTGTAACCATCATCACCATCCATCTCTAGATCTGTTTTCATCTTGCAAAACTAAAATTCTGTACCCATTAAATAATAATTCCCCATTTTCCCTTGCCCCTAGTCCCTGGTAACTACTGTTCTTCTCTACGAAGTTGATTACTCTAGCTATCTCATAGAAGCGGAATCATACAGAATTTGTCCTTTTGTGACTGGCTTAATTCACTTAGGATAATGTCTTTAAGGTTCATCTGTGTTGTAGTATGTGACAATTCATTTAAGACTGAATAATATTCGCTATATGTATATACCGCATTTTGTTTATTCATCTGTCCATAGTCTCTTGGGTAGCGTCCACCTTTTGGCTATTGTGAACAATGCTGCTATGAAAGTGGGTATATAAATATCTGTTTAAGACCCTACTTTCAATTCTTGCAGTTATATGCCCAGAAGCAAAATTGCTGGATCATGTGGTAATCCTGTGTTAATTTTCTAAAGGAATTGCTATACTGTTTTCCATAGCAGCTGAATGAACCATTTTATGTTCCCACCAACAGTGCACAAGGATGCCCATTTCCCCACATCCTTGCTAACACTTGTTTTCCATTTGTGTGTTGTGTTTGTTCTTTTTTGTAGTAGTAGCCATCTTAATGGTTATGAGGCATTAAGGCAGCTTTTGATGATGATTCTCTGTGGTACTTTGGCATACTGCTTTTGTACCTTTCTGACACCATTCCCTCCATGATTAAAAGCTTGCCCTCAAATGTTGATGTTTTATGGATTCCGTCCTGAGCCCCATGCTTTTGTCTTTCTCTGCCCTTGCCTTGCCCTGTTAGCACTTGTAACATCTCTGCCAGCATCTCTCACCACTTTGCACCTCTGTACGCTGTTGTTCCTTGCACCTTTCTACCCAGATGCTTCTTGGGTTCTTCCTACTCAATGTGTCTCTGTCAATGTGTGATAATACCATCTACCCATTACCCAACTTGTCAACCGTTAAACACTCTGTGTCATCCATTCCTAGCCAGTCAGTCACCAAAGCCCGGTGATCTTTTTTTTTTTTTGACGCTTAAATATTTCTTGACTGTTATTCCCACCAAACCTCAGGTCAGTTTTTGTCTGTGTTCCCTGCCTTCAGTCTGAGTCCCACCCACAGGGTGTGTCCTCCACTTACCCGTGAGAGGAATCCCTCTAAAATACAAGCAGCACTATGTCCCTTTTGTGGGTCTCTTAACACTTACAAGAGAAGTTCATGGTGTTTAATTCGGTGGAGTGCTCTGTGATTTGACACCTCTTCTTCCGCCACTATTTGCCTTGGTCTGTATGTCACAGCAACACTCAACTGTTTGAACTCTCTGTGAATGTCTGTGGTTCTTGTCCCCTTGTTTGCGCTTAAGATCTTTCCCCTGCCTAGAATAGCTCTCTGGAATAATTTCTCTTCTCCTTTCACCTGGCTTATCCTGAATTTGAATTGCATTTTAAAAAATTTCAGCTATTTGTATACTTGCTTCTCAGTCTTTATTATATCCACATGCCACCTGATCTGTGTATATCTGATATTTATGTATATGGAATCACCTTAAAAATTGTTCACCATCATCCTAAGTAAAAATAACTTTGAAGTCACAGATTTTGTGATTCTTTTAACATACCTTGAAATAATTACATAGCTGTGTAATAAATTTGTCTGAGTTCTATTTAACCTGTGTGTTTATCATCCCTGTGGAAATATACTACTTTCAGATGCAGTTGGCCCACCCTTTCTTATGGGAGCTTATTCCTGGACCACCCATCCCCTCCCTCCCTATGCAGGATAAACTCACCTTCCTCTGTTCCCAAACAGTACTATCAATATCTCCATTCATTCATTTTTCTATCCATCTCTTTATCCAGTCAACCAACTAATAATTTATTAGTAACCTTCTAGTGCTAAATACTGTGGGAGGTACAACCAGGAGTAGTGCTTAACCTGTTTGTGCCTAGTGTTCCATTATTGGCACACTAAGCTCGTGGGAGTTATTTATATCCTGTTGCTCAAGGTCATTGCCAAGGTCTGATTTTTCACACAAAAAAATTGCAACCTCTGGCATAAATACTGATTTTTAATTGTCTGCCAGTTGTTTCTCCCAACTAGATTGTGTGAGCTGTTGAGAGCCAGGGCAGTGTCTTAAGTTTGTATCTTTGGCACCTGACATTTTTATTCATTTAATTAAAAGGAATATAAAAGTAAAGATGTGTTGCTTCCTTAATTTTCTCTTTCAAGTTTTACTTGTGTTTCATAAATGATACTTCTAAACATTCATAAAGGCCAGAGTGAAAGTAAAAAAGTAAAAGTTAATATGTTCATTTTTATTTTTGAAGGCTTATGATGCATAAAAAAAAGACTGTCTTTTGTACATATTCAGTTTGCTATGCAGGAGTAGGTTTGTTCATAGGTGATCTACTATCTGCTAGAATTTGTCTAGAAAACCTTGAGTTAAATGTGTATATTTTAACCAAAACTGGTATTTGGGGTTGTGTGGATCAAACCTGGTCCAATTTTATTGATTTGAAACAATGACTGTAGTGTTAAAAGGAGCATGTACTACATTAAAATGACATAGAGAATGTGTATATATTTAGGGGAATGTTTATTCCCCTAAAAGGGAACTTGCCCTTAAAATAAATATTACATGTCGTGAGCTAAAGGGAGAAATTATGTTGCCTTAAACTAAAGTCCCTGTCTTTTGAGTTCAACACTCTTGGAAAATTGTGAGGAAAATGTATTGATAGAATCTACTAGCATGCAGCAAAGGATTTCTGGAGATCTGGGGTCATGAGAGGCACCCTGTATAGTGAGATAAATGTCAGTGTCTGGGATTTAAGAGCCTGTTCTGAGAAAAGTAAGCCAATTTAAATATGGAGAGTGTATTCCTATAAATGCGTTAATTGAGAGGCACATATACTGCACTCAAGTTTCGCACTGTGCTGGAAACCATTGACTGTCCCGGGGGCCTTCCGCTCTTACACCTCACTCCAGTTTAGAGTGGAGCAACAGCAGCATAAGGTATGCATTTTAATATGGCTTAGATGGTGTTCATTTCCAAACACACCATCTGTTCTCCCACTTCTGGCCTTCGTTGGGCTGTTTCCTAAGCCTGGCTTGGGCCCTCTTAAATTTCAACTTTTGTAGAGCTTTCCTTTATGTTCTTCCTAAGAATGAATGGTTTTCCTGTCTCTGAATTCCTATAGTGCTTAATTTAATTCTACTTCGGACACCCCTCAGGCTTTGTACTGTATCACAGATGGTGATGGCTGTGTCTTCTGGTTTTTTCTTTTTTTGCAAGGGGGATGGGGGGGTATGTTGCTGATGTTGCCCCAGTCTCGTTCATGGAGTCATTTGGCCTGTCTGGGGAATGGGGTGGGACAGGTGACTTTTTTGCAACCTCTCTCATCCATATTGCCAGGCTGTCCAGGATGACTTTCTGGGCTTGAAACATCATCCTTTTCCTGAGAGCAATTCATGGACACCTGACTCCTAAGACTTAGCTCCGCTGAAAAAAGTCTTTCAAATCCAAGAAGGTGATTTAATTTAATCAGTGGGGACCTCCACTACTTTTTTTTCTTCTTCTAGTCCAAGAAATGGATATGTTTGATATACCTTCTTTTTGTTTTGATTTTTTCTTTTTTTTTTGTTACACTTTTAAGATTTATTAAAGTTAAGCATTTGTGTACTTTAAGAAACAATTTTTAAAAACTTATGGAAAAATCGAAGTCCATACCCTTTTCTTATGCCCTAGTAGCCACCTTTTTCCTTTTAGCTATTTCCTTTCAGCCATCTCTTTTTCCTTTTAGCTATTTTTAGGTATTAGTGCCTATATTTCTTACGTAACTGGAGGTTCTTGGCTTTTAATAGTGTCTGTTGACTTCCTTGTGTGGAAGATGAGGATTTAGCTCACCTTGCATGTTTCCCTTTACCTAGATAATTTTGTACACAATTTTTGGATACATCGGCATCTTTCATTCACATAACTAGAGCTATATGAGCATTATTTATAGCAGAGGCTTAACATTTACGTTGGAAGGATTACAACTCCCTAATTTCATCTAGCGACCGGGGGAAACCTTGCTGTCTTGGTCTAATGAGGGCAGGCTTCCCTCTGGGTTTTGCCTGCCCATTTTCCCATTTATAATTAGTTGAGATATGTAAACATGCTATATAAATATTAGTTCTTATTGTTTCAACATTATAACTTGAACAAAACCTTATTTAGTCTAGTTCTTAGCTATACATGTATGTGTAAGCTTAAAAGTACTTTTGTGAACAGCTGCATTTAGAGAGAAATGTGAAGTCCAAGTGCGTGTTTATGTATGTGATAAAACTTTTGCAGCATAGATGCTTCTTAGCATTGCAGCTCAACAGGCAGAGAAGATTTGTGTTGACAGATATGCTTGTTATTAATAACTTTGTGTTATATTTCACTGGAGAGACCTTCTAGCTTACCAGTTTTAGGCATTTTGCTTTTGGCAGATTGCAATTATTGCTGTCTTATAAATGTCACATACATGATATATATACACACTTCCAAAACTGTGTTTTTCATTCTTGTCTTCCTAGTTGAGACTTGTCTGCTACCAAAAGTCTAAGTCAGATTCTGATACTTTGCCTTGCTGCTCTTCTTTGTGGTAGTTTTCCCAGAAACCTTATATTATACTTAACAATATAAATATAGTATTATACTGACAATAAGCAAGGCCTTTGCTTGTATTCATTTAAAAATGTAGACAAGCACTTAAAAGATAGGAACTTTCAAGTCACAAATAGGCAGGCTGAGGATTGGCTTATGGAATTGATGAAACTGTTGGGAGACCAATTTCATGTAAGAATGAGCAATCTGAGGATAGAACTAACAGCCAAATAACAGGGGATGTGAGAGGGATACAGTGACTTCCATTTGTTTGTAAAAATGCTGTTTTGGG